AAAGGGTGCCCCCTGGCCCGTGTGTAAGTACCGCTGGCCCCCTCGGTACTCCACTATGTGTTTGCACGCGACAACACTTGAAGATCTTCATGGCGAAGCAGGACAGAAGGCCTCCCAGAGCAGAAGTGGCGAAATCCCTCCCCAGAGCACGTGCGATGAACCTCCTGGCGACATCTTGGTCATTGAAGGCCGGCCCGTGCCGCCATGCTACGGCCCGACAAGCCGATATTCGAACCGCATCTAAACGCTAGAACGCATCTGTTGAACATTATTGTCCATATTCTTCAAATCTTTCGCGTTCATTGAGTCCGTACATCGAAGTGCGCTTAGAACAAGTCGGCAACAGCACTCCGGGTGGAGTACACACTGTGAGCGAGTTTGCTGCACCCAGGATACGCCGCACACACACAACACCCAAAATCCGAAGTTGTAGCGCTTCATGTTTCAAGTCCAGGGTTCGAATCCGGCATGGCCATATTTTTCATCTTCAATTTTCAGTTTTTTTTTCCGTCAGTTTCATTCACCCTAGGTTGACTTGTCTATGACATCGGTCACGCTTTTGTGTCACTCTCCATCCCTGTGGCGCGCGGGTTGGTTCGCTTGTGTACTTCTTGTTTTCAAGAGTCAATATATCACGTGATAAGCGAGGGCCGCCGACAGAGGGGGGCGGCATCCTGTGTCACCGTGCGACAATACGACCTTTATCTGGGGGGGATTCACGAAGAACACGACACTGGTATTATTGCGGAATTTTTAGGCAACTATGGCATACATCTTGACTTGTGGGTCTCCATCGTAGAAATGTCGTGTCAATTTCAGAATTGCGGGGCTGGTGAGTCATCGTGTGTCCCACCTGTGATACACAGGGACCTCCCGTTCTTCCCACGAAGGCTAAATCACCCTCAACAAGACCCAGGGCGGTCCTTGCCGGACTTTTGTCCCATCCAAAACATCAAAATCAAATTGTGGGGCGTTTGATGTGTTGATGAGTTCGGGTTGCCTGTGCACTGACTACTAAAAGATTATCTTTCACATTGAACTAATCACAAAAGTTTTTTTCTTTTTGGGCCCCTTTTGTAAATACCATTATTGAAGAATTGCTTGCAACGTAATCGAAATCGAATATTGCCCGGAAACTGCTAAGAAATCCCCGTTCCAATGCTTCAACCAACACTATGAGAGAGTCCATGATCAGGCGGGTTGGAATATATTTATCTGGCATTCATACGCTGCCAACTCAGCGAGCAATGTGTGATTGAATGCATGGTACGTTATGATGTTGGAAAGCCGAAACTCCTGCGGCCGTCGACAAAGAAACAATTTCGCGTGGATGACTCTCACTTAAATTTGAGCAGGTCTCGCTCAACGACAGTATGCTGTGCGCATTGTTCTGCTGTGCTTTGCTCGGCTGGATGGCAATGTACGTATCGCTTATATCGTCAAGCAGTCTATGAATGGCTCGACCAATAACGCAATGAAGGCATCCGTTTTTTTTGGTATGGCAGCAGCTGGCAAGCACTTTGAGGCTCCAATTGGTTACAGGTGTTTGAATTGTTGGTCCTCGCTATTGACGTCACCGCATCGATAGGATCTCAAATTCCAAAATCCGGTGGCGGCACGAACAGCAAATTGTCCAATTAGTGACCTTTGTTATTTGTTCTTGTTGATTTTTCATTTTGGACGCAACAATCATTTAACATCATTTATGAACACGGATATTACCGAAGACCCCCCCGGTTGTTTGAAGTACTGAATATGTTCTCGGTTGCACGCGAAACAAAAATTGCCATGTTTTCAGGGAAAGTTCGCGTGTGACCACGGGAATCGATCGGCCAAGTGTTTGGTCAGTACGGACAGATGAAGGTACTGAAACTGAGTAGAGTGATGAGAGATCGGATCGACGCTTAACGTGAAGACAACAACAACAACAACGACAATATTGTCGCGGTTCCACGCGAAACAAAAGGTTCCAATGTCACCCTTTTATTAGCGCCGGCAGTGCAAAAAGGGTGCCCCCTGGCCCGCGTGTATGTGCCGGTGGCCACGTCAGTACTCCACTGAAAGTTGCACAATCCCGCGCGTGCCACATGTTGAACACGGTGCTGGCCCTAACCAACACCGCCCCCCTGCAGGAGAGGGACCGCACACTTGAGCACGGCCCGACACATCTCGGTTTCGAACCGCATCAAAACCCTAACATGGAAAAAAGCAGCTGTTGAACATTGTTGCCGACTCATTCTTCAAATCTTTCGCGTCCGTTGAGTCCGTACATCGAGAGTGCACGCGGAGTGTCAGCAACAGCACCCTAGTGACATCCAGCAGAGCACGGAATACTTTGTTGCTTTGGGCGAGATCTGCTCTAAGTTGAGAGAGAGAGGACCATTGCCGTGAAATTCTTTCTTTGTCTACGCAAGTCAACGGCAAGTTCTTCGCTTTTCCTGCATCAGCGAGCAGCATTCATCCACACACAATGCTCGCTGAGTTCGCAGAGTATCCATGCGAGACCAAGATTCCCATACCCGCCTGATCATGGTCGTTGATCGGAGCTATCGTTCGCTGTCCTGGATGGCGTGTGTGTGGCTCTCATGGTCACCGTTTGAATATCCGCAACGGGCATGTTCGGGCCTTGTTTGGACCTTGGGTTGATTTTTGATTTCGGTTCCCCCCGCCTGTGCGCTGTGTAGAGCCAACGCCAAATAATAAAAATGCAATGTCGGACGCACTACTGTGTTGCTGAAAAAGGCCTCCCTCACACGGGCAGGATGAAAACGTTTTTTTCCCGAGGCCCCCGGTTTGGTTGTATGGGTTGCATACGCCAAACAAAAGCACCGATATCATAAGCCCCATCGTGACACGCGGCATATAATGGTGCCCCCTTGCTATCCCTTGTGTAAATGAATACACGTGAACTCGTGAACAGTGTCATCAAGAATCGTAACAACTTCTCCACAGACGAACCACTTTGTGAACCGTACAGTATCTAAATACTACCACATCTGTTGAACAACGTCGCGTCCGATGAGTCCTTACATCGAAATGAGCGTGAAAAAAGGCCAGGAACAGCAGCACCCTGGCGTGTGGAAAGCAAACCTTCCGGTCTATTCAGGAAACAGGATATGCCACACACACGACCCGACATCCGACGTTTCGGCGCTTCATGTTTCAAGTCCTGGGTTCGAATCTCTGTCCCATTTTTTTTTCAGGTTGTAACAATAATGAAAAAAAACGGAGATTGACTTTGCCGATGACCACGGCCACACTCGTGGCTCAGTGTCAGTTGGTAACCTCGCAGAACCTACTGACTTTAGGCTGTGGGTTCGTATCTCCTCGGGGTGAACAAACTTGCAACATTCCTTTACATGACCAAACCCTTACCAGGTAGTACTAGTGGTGAAAACACACAACATGGATAGAGAAGGAAGATTGACCCGTCCAAAGTTTATCCATTTGCAGGCAAGCACCGCAGGAAGGTTGAGAAAACCTGTGTTTGGCTTTCTCTTGTGTGACCCCGGCGGATGCATCAAACACAACCAAATACTGACGGGAACAGACTGGAACGCCGAAGGGTATAGACTGCCGCCCAGAATAGATACTTGTGGATGGGTGACACAAGAACTTTAGCACGTTGTCCCGTGGTAATCGGAGTCAAAAAGTAATCTACGGGGCCTCCGGGGCGCTACATGTACGTGGATGCTGTGTGGGTTTAATGAGCCTGACGAGGGAGGTGCTTCTTGCTGTGCCCATGTCTCCTCGAGCCGTAGTACAAGAGAGGTGAGTGAGACAGGGGGCAAGCAGGAGGGAGGTGGGGCACCCAAGGACGTGATTAACCCGCTTCTGTGGACTTAGTCGACAACAGCTGGTGGTTGATTCAGTTTTCCTTCTTGAGGAACTTGGGATTAAGGGTAAGTCGCGAACTTGTTGGCGATTTCCTCGGGCGTAGCGCTTGGCATGTGTCCCACCCGCAGATTGCTAACGGTAGGCGTGTCCCGTCAGAGTCAACCTCACTACGCACAGAACATCAATGTCCGTGGCGAGTTGGTAGCTGTAATAACCGCGGCACAGAGACTATTCATACACCGGCAAGAGGTAAACGCCCGTGCGCAAGTTGGAACGCAAGGATCTGCTGAAAACGTCGGTAGGACGGAGGGGTCTCCCATGTATGGCGGTGATGATGACGAAGAAGGTCATATCAATTCGGTTTGTTGATGACAACGTAAGCGCTGTTGGTTGGGTTTATTTTATTTGTACTAGAGTGTCGGCTTGAGTTGCTTGGTTGCCATTCTGAGAACTGAAGGCGAGGGAGGCCACGTTGTTTCTGTGATATGCATCGATCATGTGGCTCACTATGCGCCCTGATGTTTGGGTTTTCAATACTGGAGGGACGCGACGTGGATTGCTTTTCACAGTGCCCCCCCCCCCCCACCCCCCCCCGGAA